GCTGATGATTCCATCATGCTACTTTTGGTTTTTCTGTCAAACAATGTGATGTGGGTTGCATTGCAGATCACAAACTCTGATCACATTACCTAGGATGCAAAATCACATATCTGTTCTAATCTGAGTAACACAGTAATACAGACTCGGCCTCTCTGTCAGCTGCGTGAAGGCAAGACCAGGCAGTGGTTAGACTGTCAACCAGTGGGAGAAGCAGAACAGAACTTGGGGATGTGGAACTTGTGGAAATGGAGCCTTCTTGAAAGCGTTTAATGTGTTAGCTAATGTGACAAATTACCGCATGCTGGTTTTGGGTAGAGGTGCTGACTAAAATTAGGGCCCTGTCTGTCAGGTGCTGTGCAAATGCCAGTCAGGATAATTTTCTTTCCCAGACAACTTACAGAATGGGAAAAAGATGCAGTGACCTGACCTTGGTTACCACATCCAGGTGAGTGACATGGCTAGGACTGGAAGTTATGCCTGTCAGCACCTAATCTGTTGTATTATCTATTAGACTACACTTTATCAGTTTGCTGAAGGATGGATAATGGTTTATTGTTGTTTCCCTCAGGAGCAATCACCTCATCTTCAGTGTCTCTTGCAGTGCTTTTCTGAGCTGCCGTTATACTCCTTATCTGCCTTTTGCTCATTTTTTTTTAACGTATGATTTCCACTGCACTTGCAACAGTCATGGCTATATAATAATGTTCTCTCTTAAGTCCTTAACCTGCATTGCTCTAAATTTCCTTTCTCCAAGAGTTTTGCTTGCTATTTGTGTGGGTGCAGGTGCCTTGCACTAAAAAGATGCCTGATGTATACTGCTTACTATCTTCAGGTGAATATTTGCAAGGGCACTAGGGACTTCTGAATTAAGAACACGCTTTGCCAATGCTTGCAGACCTAGAGAAGAAAGGATCCAGCAGGCTTGATAGAGTGATAGAAGCAGCACCACCAGCAGCCTTCCTCTGAGGCCTAACCCTACCCGGAGGGTCACAGGGAGAGAAGGTCCATTTTATTTGCACTTAGAGAGCCAAACACCTATGTAAATGGATTGCTTTAGGAAAGTGTCTCCATCTGGGATCCAAACTGATCCTTGTGTATATTTGTCTCAGCACAAACTGCAGAACCTTCTGACCCTTACTGAGTAGAATTAGAATTACAGAATAGTTCAGTTGGAAGGGACCTACAATGATCATCCTAGTCCAACTGCCTGACCACGCCAGGGCTGACCAAAAGTTGTATTACATTTGTCCCAGTGCCTCTTAAACGCTGACAGGTTTGGGGCATGAACCACCTCTCTAGGAAGTCAGTTCTGGTGTTTGACCACCCTCTCTGTAAAGAAATGCGTCCTCACATCAAGTCTAAACCTCCCCTGATGCAGCTTTGAGCCATTCCCATGCATCCTGTCACTGGATCCCAGGAAGAAGAGCTCAGCATCTCCATCTCCCTCTCCCTCAGACAGCAACAAGGTCACCCCTCAGCCTCCTCTCCTCCAAACCAGAGAAACTCAAATCCTCTGCCCTCCTCACAGAACCTTCCTTCCAGCCCTTTCACCAGCTCCATTGTCCTCCTCTGGATGCATCTTCACATCCTTTTAAAACATTGAGGCCCGAAACTACACTCAGTACTCAAGGTAGCATTTTAACTCTTTCTTCAGAGATAAAGAGCTGTCTTGCATAGGCAACCTCTCATGTTTACAGTCATGTTTTCCATCTTTGCCATGCAGGTGAACACACTCTCTTCTTTTGTTCAAAATCAATTGATTCCAATTGGTGTGGGCTCCTTTTTTTTTTTTTTTTTTTGTGACAGATTATTGGTTGCTGTCTGGCCTAAGATCTTATAAAGTAACCCAATACTCTGCCCTTCTTCCAGAGCAAACACAGCAAATGCCCATTGCTACGAGGCAGCAGTGACTCCTTAGCAAGCTGCTCCCTGCCTGAATACATTGTCATTGGGGTGACTCAGGAGCTGCTTCACAAGATGCAGGAAAAATTCCCCATCTTTATTCTGATTGCGGCTGGAGTGCTGGATTTATCTGGTGAGTGATGGGTCTTGTTCTAATCTCAACTGCTGTCTTTCTGCCTTCTTTTCCTCTCTTATCAGTGAGCAGAAAAACTATGCTAAATATTGGGCCATCAGTCTCAGGCGTATGACAACGATGAGATGAAGGAGCAACTTCTCTCTGTGTAGCTGTGCTGTAAGGCTCAAGATTTCTTTTAAACAGTTTCTGTTGTGGGAGAATTACTGGCCCCAAATCAGGACACAGCTGTGCTACTTATCCAGCTAAGAGGCAGTCCATTCCCCAAAGAATAGATTGTCCCCTTATAGGTGGGGAAAGCAAAGGAAGAGTAGTCACTTTTCACAGAGCGGGTCCATAGCAGAAGTGAGGATCAGCCTTGTGTCTGCTGAAGCCTTGTTCAGAATACACTTTTTCCAGGCACCACTGTTTATCCCATTAAACATGGGCTCCCCTCTTCACCATGCAGTAACATGTTGTTCTGCATTTTCTTTGGGAACAGCTGTCCTGCCAAATATTTCTGACAGCATGAAATCAGCGATGAGTTTGTAATGCTGTCATGCCTCAAACGAGTTCCTAGGGTTGCTGTCACTCATTGCAGGGAACCAGTCAGTCTTTGCTCTCTCCCTCTTACTGCATGCCTGTGAGCATACCCTGCAAGTGTATATAAAATTAGCTTGGCTAATAAAACCAGTCTTGTGTCTTCAGGCAGGCTGTTCTCATCATTGAGAGTAAACTTGCAGGGGGTGATATCAAAGAATTTTCCACTTTTTTTTTTTTGTGGGTTTTGTTTGTTTGCTTTTTTTTTTTTAATTATCTTTTCGCCCCCCCCCAAGGTGTATTTGTGGATGTTTACACCACTTTCTTTGCACAAGATCTTGATTCAGTAAGTGTTTGTCTTTTGTGCTCGCTTTGCTGAGTTGGGGCTAAAGCATCTGAGTTTCATTTGTTTATACAAAACCACAAATCAAAATATTTTCTAGATCTAACATACCAGTCTTCATCATCCATTAGTTTCCACTGCTTTTGTGGTAATGTATCAGCTTTTGGGGTACTCTTGTATCATCTTACCCTGCTCCCTGCTGACTGAAAGTAGTACTGGTTCTTCAAACGACCAGAGAAGTTGTAATCTCCTCCTAAGGCACTACACTTGGATGCCAACCCTAGGGATTTCATCTGAAGCAAAACTGCTTTTTTGAACCTCTGCTTTGCCTTTCTCAAACCTCACAATTTAAAAGCGTGATGCTTAAATGCATAATCACTTTTTAGCTTTTAGATACACGTGTTTGATGGCAGGTGCCAGGGAAAATGCTTAAAGATTTTAGAGAGGAAAGTACATTAATATTTTAGTCCATGGTTTGGAAAGTATACTTGGGAGTGTCAACCTTCTGAATGTGAAGACAGAAAAAAGTTAAATGGGTGGATAAAACAATAGCCTCTTAAACTGTAGGTCTGCCTCTTTAAATGACAAAGTTTCTGCTTTTGATTTGAGAAGTTCAAAGTAGAGACGTTACTATTTTCTGTCTGCTCCGCCTCACTCCCACAAAACAAACCAGCTTTGTCCTGCCTGCTCACCCAGTATGAATCAGGAAACTCATCATAGGACTGGGATCTTGAGGGAGAAAGAGTGGTTAAGGAGAGCCAGGTGAGTGAGCTCATTTCTGTGTATATTAATCTTGCTTTGCTATTAAAGAGCTACTGGCCTGTCCTCAGACAGCCCAAGGGTTTCATTCTCCCTGCACCTTTGGCTGTCATTTATATCCTTGTATGTTTAAGATCAAGGGGTCCTCTCTGGTTGGTTAACGTCTCGCGTCAGCGTGGCAGGAGTACGGAGGGACATCCTTCATATGACACTGAATGTAAACAGCAGAGGGTCAGATTTATAGCAGATGGCAGTAAGAATGGCAGCGCCCAAGCTGCCCATCCTCCCTCCTGTACAGTTCTGAATGGAGCCAGTGGCTGCTTAACTTTCCGCTTCCTGCTCAGCCTGTTGCAGAGTGCTGCTGCAAGCTCTTAAAAGTTCTCGTACAACTGAATAAGCAAAGGGCTTGTTTTTCGTTTGTTAGGTGCCCCCAGGAATGAACATCGTGCCAGTGAAGTATTAGACCTGAGTTTTCCTGGAGAAACCCAACCAAGAGCTGAGAGCAGCCCAGTGCCCACCGAAGTGTCTTCTGTGACAGAAGATAACTTGGATCAGGTGACCTTTAATTTTCAGAGTCCTTTTTCAGCACTTGATCCTACCAGTGAAATGACAGCTGACTTCATTCCTGTGCATACAGAGACAGCTACAAAAAGAACAACTGTGCTGCCAAAGGAGCTGGTTAGGAACTTGGAGGTGGCTGAGCAACTGCAGACAGAACCAGCAGCTGTAAAACTCCAGGATGAACGCAACTTCCCTGGCAAGGTCTTGAGCAGCATAAGCATCCCTGTCTCTGCACAAGGATCACAGGCTATCGCACATCTGGAACAGCCAGACAGATCACTTCAAGGAAAAGCAGCAAATATTACTGAGGCTGGTTTCAGTCCTACCAGCTCTAGTGCTGGGCTGCCCCAGCCCCTGCTCAGTAGAGGGACACATCAAGACCCTCCCAAGTTTACAGCCAATCCTGTTGTCAAGCAGATGGAGGTACCAGGTCCTAAAATGATTCTTCTGACTTCAACGGTAAATTTTCAACCTCCACAGAAAGAAATAGCAGCATCTCCATTTCCCACCAGAGCTAAGGTTGCTCTTGAAAGTGCAAGGGTGGATGGGTTACCAGCAGGAGCACCTCCCGCTAGCAAAAGGCTAAAAGACACCAATCCACACGTCCAGCCTGACGGCGAAGCTGGTGTGACGCCTGCATACCTGAAAAAGACTCGGAGTACGGACGCTGAAGTTACAGCTTCTGCATTCCTACAAAAGCCAGCTTCAGGGGACCTTGATGCAGCCTATTCCAGACTGACACAGCCAAGTCCTATTCAGTTTTCCCCTATTTTATCTCTGAAGCAAGAAACAACAAGCGGTAAAGCCCAAAACTCAGCAACAGCTGTAATAAATGGTTCTGGACACCCAGCCCATTTGCCTGCTCTTCAGACACTCCCGCAAGGCAACGTACATTCTTCTTCCTTATTGATGCATCTGGAAGCTCTAGTTCATGGTGATTTACTTCTGCCTCCATTTCAAGGGCCCATTGGTACAACTGTTAGACAACAGCCTCTTTCTTTGTCCCAGACTCTCAACTGTACTAAACACGTTTCCCAGGAAACCAACAGGACCTCTCCAGAAATCACAGTTCTAGTTTTGCAAAGAGCAACTGATCATCAGACAAGGACAAGTAAACCTGAAAAATCCCCTGAGAGCCCACAACCTTCTGCTAATTTATCCTCTTTAAGCCAGTCATGGATTTCCACAATAAAACTTTCCCAAACTACTAAAGACCCAAAAGGAGCAACATCTGCGCTCTTTCCAGGTATATCTGCCTTTGAGAATGCAGCCCTTCAACCCGTAAGCACTCTTGGTTCTGTTCATGCAGGGCTTCAGGCACCAGGTACCTCTTTTCCTGCTTATGTTGGATTGCAGCTAATGGGCACCCCCACCTCTCCTGAGAAAGGACTTCACATACCACCTTCGCCCACGTCCACTGCTCCTAGGTCTCAGGTTCAAGGCAGTTCTGCCCATCCTGTATCTCAGGAAGCCTTCCCTATGATAGCACAGATGAGCACAGTGGAAGGCTCCAAAAGAAAGGAAAGTCTCCCACCACAGAGAGATAAAACTGGTTCTCCCCCACTGACTCCACAAGCCAGCCCAGTCCCCAGCCCCTCTGGAGTGCATGACAACGGGAACCAGAAAGTTCCACTTCACAGCTTTTCCCCTTCTGCCTCCCATATCCAGCAATCTGGTAGCCTGGCAGCGTTTGCTTCAAAACTGCCCTCACCCCACGCACAGGGAAGCCAGTCCAGCTCAACAACAGCACATCCTGAACCAGCGGTGCCCAGCGTTTCTGAGGAGATCCCAGCATACCTGGCACAAGCGCTAGCGCAGCGATTTGGTCAGTCGCATGATGCAGCTACCAAAAACCTCCGTGTTTTTAGAGGTGACCAATTTACAATGCTGCCATCATCCCCATACTTGTCCTTTCTGCTTAAAAGTACTAATGGCATGATATGCCTGCAGCCCATGCAAGATTCCCCTCTGCCTACAAAATTCCTAAATGCCAGTGTTGGGGTTCTGGTTTCTATTCAGCAAATCCTGGCAGCATCAAATTCTTCAGTGCTGGACCTTGCGAACCTAGAAAATCCGAGTCCTTCTAGTTTAATTCTGGTTAAGCCCGTGTTTGTCCTTTTGCCCACTGACAGACCAGATTTACAGATGGTGCCCTCTCCTGCTGGTGAAGGTGACCATAAAACTGCCCTCTTGTTCACAAACAAGCAAGATCTGAATTTGGGTACCCCTGAAAGCAGCCATGATATCCCAATGAAAACTAGTTCCTCTTATACCCCTAGTAAGTTTTCGAGGCTCGAAACTACTCTCTCCACTGCGTCTGACCAACAAGCGGAGAAAACAAAAGTAACTTCTCAGCCAGTGCTAACTAATCCTAATTATGCAGCCATCACTAGTTCATCTCAGGCTCTCGCCTCAGCACCAAACCATTTGCTGGACCCAGGGATGAAGATCAGCGCTGCAGTGCAGGCTGCGCACTTCCACAGGCTGCCTGGAGAGATGCAGGTACCTGCTCCCAAATCCCAAGGAGCCAAGGGGACTCATTTGCTTTTATCTGACAGTGTGTCAGCAGAGCCTTTCACCTCCACCACACCACCATTAGTGGTGTCTGCACAGCATAGCCCCCGTATTTCCCCTGAAGTATTTCTCACCACTGAAAAGCCACATTCTTTTTCTGTAATGCCTTTATTGTCAGCAAAGGGACTCCCTGATTTTCTAGTGCCTGCCCACCCTCCGCTTACTATCACGGGAGCTGTAGATCAGGTTCAGCACAGTAAGAAACTAATAACACAAACTACTGGCCATCACCAAGGCTCAGTGACCACACCTTCCTCTGTCCAAGCACAATGCACAGATTGTTTGACCTTGCACTCAACTAGAACCATAAAACACCCATTAAAGACGTTCACAAGCATCACACCTTTGCAGTTCACATTGCAAAGTCTCTTAAGTACAGAGTCACTTCAAAAGCTACCATCACAAGTTCAGTTTGTACCCAGCACATCATCAGTTTTCTCTGTGCTTCCGGATGGACACGATCGCAAAGATTCAGCAGCGGGCAGCACAGCCTGTTCAGGAGGAGTCACTGCGTGTGCTAAAGCAGCACAAGCCCACACAACTACTGTGAACGTGCTTCCGGATGGACACGATCGCAAAGATTCGGCAGCGGGCGGCACAGCCTGTTCAGGAGGAGTCGCTGTGTGTGCTAAAGCAGCACAAGCCCACACAACTGCTGTGAAACCTGAGCTTACTAAACACTTGGAATTTACTCCTATTGTGCCTAAGCCCTTTATAATGACAGAGAGAACAACAATAGCACCCGTGCAAACTCCATTTTCAACAAAGGTCCAAGTGAAAGCAACTGTTTCTGGGAAACTTCTGTCTACAATTACCCGCCCCAGGATGTATACCAACTCTCCTGCAAGCCCAGCTTCACCTGCACCTACACATGCTCCCCTGCTATCAGCCCTGAAACGTGACCAAATCCATCGAGCTCCTACTAAACTGTTTTCACAGGCCAACACGGGAGAAAGTACAAAGCCAACTGAAATCAGCACAAGTGCAAGAAAAATAGGAACTGGTAAATTCTTGGGAACAAGCATGTCTCTGTCAGCCATGTTTAACACCAGGAGGCAGCAACCCCCCACTGCAGTTCTTGGGAATAGGGTGGGTTTAACTCCAGTACAACCATCTGTGTCCACAGGACCTATTATTGCTCTTGCGAGGCAGCCTAAACTGACACAGAGCACATCACGGTCTCCACTAGCAATGACTTCTCTCTCCACAGCTAAGAACGATTCTATTACTGCTTCACTTACAAACAAAAAAGTGTCTGTCCTGCCAACATCAACTATCCGATCTGCTCCAAGCATGGTGCTGCTTACAGCCGCCAGAGTGAACAAATCAACTGTGGTCTCTACATTAGTGGGGAAGAGTGAGGACATGTTAGTGAAAGGAGATGCACCCACTGCTATTCAGCTGCCCACTCAGCCTCCCATGTCTTCACCACATCAGGCATCAGCAAGGCACCCTCTGGAGAATATACCACTGGAAGATAACACTGAATATGAGACTGGTCAGTCCAGCCCTGACACTGTCATGGATGCCACCGGGCCATCAACAACAAAAGCATTTTCTGTCTCTGCTAATAGGATTGTAAATAAGGTTACTAATCAGTCAGCAGCCTTCAATAAAATAGCTGCCAATGATGCTGAGATGCTTCTAGCCAGAGATCTAATGCAGTTCCTTCCAACCTCAGAAAGCCCCTCATATTCTTCTCAGAGTTTGGTAGCAGTCACACCACAGGGGAATTCCTTGCTGGGTGTTGCCAACACTGGACAATCCGAGGGGCTGTTCTTGAACACAGAGGCAGAGGACATGGCTAGAACAAATGAAGTAACAGAAGAAGCAGCTGAAGGCTTAGTAACTGTTCTAGCGCTGCTGGATTCAGAGCCCAGTGCACTGCTGAGTGAAGCACGTCAGAGGAGGGTTTTGCAGTCAGATGCTGCCATTCTGAATGGGTAATTATCTCGGTGTAGTTAATGTTGC